AGTAGTAGTAGTAGTAGTAGTAGTAGTAGTAGTAGTAGTAGTAGTAGTAGTAGTAGTAGTAGTAGTAGTAGTAGTAGTAGTAGTAGTAGTATCGGCAGCAGCAGCAACAACAGCAGTAGTAGTAGTGGTAGACGATTATTGCAATATGTGAGTCTTTGTCTAAAGGAACTAGGTACATGTACATTATTACCAAGAAATATATGTCAGTTAATAGATGCTACAATTTTCAAGAATATCATTGTTCTGTGCCACACAAAGTAGTCGGTGTCGATACGAATTTCTTGAAACCTTTCCGGCAAAGTAGAAGAGACGAGGCAGAGCCATTACAAAGCTCAAAAGAAAACTCTCGCGGTAAGAGCTTCCAATTACTATGTCTATGGTGCCCGGATGCTTGCTTATTGGTACAAGGTTAGTAACCAAGAAGCATGACTCGGGGATTCTGTTATTGACCACCAGTCACCAGACGTAAGGGAAATACTAGGGTTTAGTGCTACTAATGAGCCTTCTTTATACCGGGACGTGTGACGAATCCCATTGTTTCCGTTTGGTGTTTCAGAACATTGGCTGAAGGTCTTGATACAGAGGCTCTCAAATGTTCTGACCATAAACTCGACCACAGTTTGTTTGTCGTTTCCTCTCGTTTGGCCTGCTTTCGTTTCGTTTCCTTTGTTTCTTTTTGTTGTTTTTGTTTCTTTTTGTTCTATTTCTTCTTCTTTTTTTTCCTTTTTTTTTGGGGGGGGGTGGGGGGTGTGTGCAGTTTTCTGTGTTTTACTATCGGCATTTTGTGAAGTTTTGATCGGTTGAGGGTGTTGTTGTTGCTTTTGCGTATCTTTATTTATTTATTTATTTATTTATTTATTTATTTATTTATGTTGATAGAGAAATGCGGGGAAGGGGGTGGTGTTGAAGGAGTGAAGTAGCCTTGAAATATTTATTCTTAGAGCAAGTTTTTCAGTATGTGTCGCTCTTTTCTTTACCTGAGGGTCGTTCGAAAAATAATTTGTAATTTAATTTTTTTAGCTTCTTATTTTGATGAATAGGCTGACGAAACCTGATTTATACCATCAAAACATGTACAATATCATAAGAAAATAACAGTTGCTATTTCAAGTGGGACTCCAATATTATTAAGAATGCTCTTTTATCTTCGGAGGTCACTGAACGCATGTATCAGCTGCCTGAGAGAGCTTTGTTAAATGTACACTTTTGTTTTCAATATTTTGTGTCCTTGTGTTTTGTTTTTTGCATTTTCCTATCTAATCAAAATCAAGGAGAAAGAGGAGAAAATGGAGTACGACGAAGATAATGGAGAAAGAGGTGAATGAGGTCAAAGAGGAGGGATTGGGGCGGGGAGAGGAGGGGAAGGGGAAAGGAAAAAGAAGATGGCAAACAGATGTTCTTCCTGTTCCTGGGTTGATTATCACGGGCGCGTGGGGTGATTTGAGGTTATGGCGGTTGTCTTCTTTCCTGACCGAGCACGCCCACACATACGGCTAAAAGAAACGAAAAGAAAGCCTCAGGGAGGTTTGTGTGTGCAGGGGGG